GAAATCTCCCCCTCTCACCTTCCTCTGCCTGACCCGCCGGCACAATGTCCCGAGAGGATAAATTGCCGGGTGTGGCCCTATCTCGGCCCATCCTAACTCTGCACCGGGACAGTCTCCAGTATAGGACAGCGCGACGTATGTGTCATGTTAGGTGCATGCAGAGTAATGTGCCAGTTTAACCCTTCCAGAGATCACATGACTCCCCCTGACAATGCCGCCATCTGCTTTCCTCTCCAGAAGGACGGCACCGCCTTTGTTCAGGCATCATCCGGGGTCAACATCCACTTCCTGGGCTGAGAAGTCGGCTTCAGAGATGACACAGTCCTGTAAACTCCAATGCTGTGTTCTTAAATGTCTGACACAGATCAGCCCCTGTTGCAGTCACTTGCCTTGTGACTGGGTGCAAAGTTACAATGTACAGACTGATCACTGGGGGAGGGGAGACTGAGGAAAGGTTTCCTCCTGCCTGCAGCAGACTGATCACTGGGGGAGGGGAGACTGAGGAAATGCTTCCTCCTGCCTGCAGCAGACTGACATCATCTCAGTATAAGTCCAAAGTCTACAGTTTGGATCATGATTCATGTTATACCCATACTGAAACATGGAACATGGTCACATGAAACCTCCCTCCCCCCATCTCAGCCCCCCTTAGGTGAAGCTTGTAGTCCTTTCATTCCATCTCCCGTCCATGAGGCTTTCACGGGCCGGACCCTCCTGACCACCTCGTCATCATCTGTATTGTGATTGCAATGTCTTCCTCACGTTGTACAGCGCTGCGCACACTGTTGGCGCCATATAAATCCCGTATAACACTCCGGATCCACCGATCGCGGCGGCAATGCTTTACAGCAGACGTAGGAAACCTCGGCCCTGCAGCGGTTGCGGAACTACAAGTCCCACGAGGGACGTTCCCCACATTCTAGGAGATGTTAGGGATCGGATATAAAAGCGGAAACCTTTCCGGCGTACGAGTCGCAAAGTATCCGTCCCATAGAACGCGCATTACATTGTTGACGAACGAACGCAGCAAAGGACGCGGCCGCCGGGGTGACTTCGTATCCCGCGTAGGGCAGGGAAGCGCCCCGGCCCTCGTACCAATCCCTAGCAACGGATCCATGGAGAGCTATGCCGAGGGTGAGGGAAAGGTTAGTGGTAGGGTGTGGCCCCGGAGGGTGCGTCGCCCAAGCTGCATATCACTTACACCACCAAGTCAACACTCCGACGTTTGCGGCGATATGCAACATGTGCGGCACAATAGGCGCAATCGTCGTTTTCGCACGTAGGCGCACCCGACGCATATCTGCGTGTGTATGTGAGGGGGCGGGGACTTAAACAAAATGTTTTATTTTTTAATTTTTTAATGCTTCTTTAGTTTTTAATGTAGCTGGAGAGTGACACTGAGTGCAGGGAGTGATATAATATACATTACTTCCTGCATTCGGGGACTGAGAGGAGATCAGAGGGAGATCGTATACTGAACTCCCTTTGATCTCAGGTCACAGAGCCGTGCCGGTCCCGGCCGCATCGGGCACAGCGGACCGGCAACGGCAGTGGCAGCTGCTAATACAAGCTTTCGAGCTTCTCTTAGAGACGCTCGATCGCTTGAATGTAAAGCTCCCGGCCGGCCGTGTAATTACAACGACCGGTGATGTATCGAAAGTGCAAACTTATCGAGTTGTGGGACCGCATGACACGAAAATAAGACCTCGTACTATTTTTGGGAATTGCTAAAATATAAGACCTAGTTGTGACCATTCCCAGGGCCGGTGGTGGCATGAGGGGGAACCTGAAGAGCCGCGGGAGAGAATCAGCGGTGCCAACAAAGCCAGCGCGAGGGGGCAGCGGAGGGAGCAGAGCCGCTTAAGCCGATGCCTCCTCTATAGCGCCGGCTCCTGTCACAGGCAGAGTGATACCAAATGCACTCCGCCTGTGAGGTATCCATAGTGACAACGCGCTTCGCTCATTCTGGATAGCGATTGGTTAGCAAATTGCTGTTGGAAAGGTACGGCGCCCCCGATTGCCCTGATCACCATATTTGTGTAAATTATTAGACATTATTATATTTATTATACATTAATAATAATGGGAATAATATTTGTATTATTATACAGGACTTATATAGCGCCAACAGTTTGCGCAGCGCTTTACAAAATTGAGGGAAACATTACAATTACCAATACAATTTCAGTACTGGAGGGTTAGGAGGGCCCTGCTC